GAAGGGTGAGCTGCATCCTGTTAAGGGTGTTGGGCATCTTGTGCTTACTTCCTTGCGTACGGATGACAGCTACGTATGACTTAATTTATTTTCTGGTGCTTTCACTTCCAGAGACAGTTATAAGCACTGTGTAACTGCCTGGAGGAAGCTTGACCATTTTAACACAAGGTGGTGCGATCATCCCCCGTTGCGCGGAGTGAGGTTTCTCGACCCCGCACAACATGATCTACTGGACCCCCATTAGGGTTACCGCCAAAAAAAAAAAACCGAGGTAAAAAAAAAAACCGGTAACCTGGTTGCGGAGTTCACGAAGTGAATTGGTTTGTTTTACAACGTCGTTGCCAAGCGACGAAAACCCAATCCCGATGGCAAACACCGACTGGGGGGCTTGTTTTACAACGTCGTTGCCAAGGGACGAAAACCCAAACCCCGATGACAAACACCGGGGGGGGGGGGAGACGGGGATTTGGTACAATATCGCCCCATCTACGCAAACAATGATGGATATCTGCTGCATGTTTCCAGGTGAACATAAACAAACCAAATACATAGCCGAGGACAATACAAACAGGGACTACCCGTTCGAGATACAACCACAGCAGTCACACGCATGTAACGCACTCTCTCCGAGCGTTTCTTCTCAATCGCGGCCGCGAAGGTGAGTGAGCGAGACTCCAACTCCTACAGCAGTACAGGAGTACAGGTTACTTGTAAAAGACCATTAGATTGTGGTGTACGCCTTCATGAGATTCCACCAGCCACTGGATACACAGTACACACACCAGGTGACAGCAACGGAGTCGATGCTGATGGTACGTCCAACCAGGTTCTGCAGCTTTACCTCAAAACAGCTGCAAGATATGCTATGCACCGGCTACAGCAGTACAGTAGTGCATCGAGAATCTATGTACCTGCAATATGCATATGCGCCTACATTTAAACACGTGGGGTAGAGGCTATTCATAGGTCAACCGCCTGTAGACAAGCCAACAGTGCGTTCGACGGCGTACAAGAGTATCCGCTGTTCGATTCTATGCATGCTACGAGTGCGGTATCTACAGCAGTGTACGCCTAATATAGACAAGGGGTTGAGCATTGTAGATGGTACACCAGCAGTGTGGTTGTATATAATCCCATGCCAACAACTCACATGAAACGTCCTCTCACAGCAGCTCTCCACCCCCGTCTCTTCCCTCTCTCTCTCTTGCTCGCACGCGCACTGGCGGCTGATTAGCTCAGCACTGGCTACACCATCTGCTGTGAGTGCTGTGTTCCGTGTGCTGTAAGGGAGTTTGGGGTCCCAACATGTGGACTTTGGGGGGATGCCAATTTTGAGGATATTTCTGAGAAGTCCCCCGCTGGGGAACACACACGTGCAGCGTGACTGCTTTCCACCCAGCGGTTGGCCCTCTGCAACGGTGAGCTTGTAATAGGCGTAATTAGTATGTATCTTTTGGCCGCTCCCCAGACTGCTGGCTTCTTTGCTTGTGCCCATAGTCTTCTACACGAAATGTACCCAAATGATAGACGCGCACATGTTGTTTTGCGGCCGCATGATTGCTAACAAGGGTATGCGCCCTCTGGTTGTTGGAGTTGATCTATAGGGAGCATCACGAGGTCTCTCTCCCGATACGTGGATCAAGCAGTGCTCTCCTTCCGTTTATTTTGTGCTTTGGTTGTTGCCAGTCGGTCGGTATGCACTCCGTGCAGCCTGTCGGGAGCTTGAAAGATCAGGACATTCTTTCACGTCAAGTACGTGCGTTTGTTTGCCAACGACTGATTTTGGCTCTCCCCCGGCTCTTTTCTCGGGATGAAACAATATCTTAAGCCGCGAGGCAATGTATGTGTACCTGCCACGTGCTGCGTGTGTTTAAGCCGGGAACGGTTGCCGCTAACTGTCGCCGTCCAGACAATGCGCCTTTTGCGCCTGATGCCTGAAACGGACATGTGCGCATCTTCTACGACTGCTGGTGCTCCAGACACAAATATGGGTCGTGCTTGATGGCACCCTTTGTGTGCACACCGCTCCCCCGTGTACATACTGCTGTACCATCTCCTGCTCCTGTCGGTTTCGTCCCCTCTTGGAGGCAAAATGCATGTATCCAGCTCAGTCTGCGAGCATCGACTACTAGCATGTAGCTCTCTCTCGCATATGATTCATGGAAAGCACGTCAGCGGGGAAAAGACTGTCGTGCTGCCGTTGGTCGGCTGCACAGCACACAACAGGACGTCCGCTGCTCTTATGCACACCACTGCTGCTGCTGTAGACTGAGCACTGCTTGTGATGCCGCGACAACCCAAACGCCGCGAGAGCTGGCACACGAATGGGCCGCCCGTTTACACTATTGTAAGCCATTTTCTACGTGTTCAGCTGGCGGAAAACCACGCACCCGTGATGCTACCGCACCTTGTTGTCATGGTCTTCACATGTCTCCGCCTGTGATACAGTAGTAGTACCTTCTAATGTCCGTACATGTCTCCGCCTGTGATACAGTAGTACCTTCTAATGTCCGTACCGGTCCAACTGACGAGGACGCGTTCCATGATCACAGGCCAACTACCCAAAAACAGTGTACAACATAAGGAAATAGACGTTGACCCAGAAACATCCTCCACAGGCGATAATAGCAGATCGCACTTGTTCTCCAGATGAAACATAGCGACCACGCCTCGCTTTAAAAACTCTCGTGGGATGAAAGAATCAGACTTTGAAATTGTCCTGTGTGAAAGTCTGATTAGTAAGAAGCGCGGACGGCGATGGTGATGAGAATGATCACCTCATGGGCGCAGGAGGGATGCCGAACTTGGGACGTTGTGGGAAGATAGTCTCCCCGCATTTTCGAGGAAAAGCGTTCGACTTTGAAGACGACCGTGTATCGTTTCCCATGTGCTGTAGCAACCTTGGCGACACTTTTCCTTTCGGTTTACATACCACGGCAGTTCACACCGAGACCCTTTTCCGATCTCGTTGCTGCCCGCTTGCATACGTTTTCTCGACCACGTTTGTCTATGCTTCCGCTTTTTTTGTTACGAGGCAGCAGCCTTCTTCTTCTTCTTGTACTGTAGACATCCCCACCAAGAGCAACGATGAAGGGCGTAGCGGTGGCAGCGATCGCCGCAGGGTGCGTTTGCTCGACAACGACAACGACCGCCTTCATCGTGGGAGGAGGAGGTCCGGTCGCTTCTTCCGTACGCAGTAGCAACAGCAGGAAAGGGGCATCCGCGGGCAGGCGTGCTTCGGCCAGGCGGGGGGGTGCTTCCACCCTGCGGTGCGCGGCGGCCGCTACCGACTTCGACCTCAAGACGTAAGGAATACTGCTGTGCGGTGCATATTTTACCGTATTAGAAGTACATACATTTCTGTGGGATCCGTGCCTACGCCTGGGTGTACACGGTGTAATTCTTCTGTTGCTAGCATCGACCGCGCTAGCGGGCTGACACCGATGGCTGTACACATACCAACTACTTACGTCCTTATTTCGACGGGGGTTCGTGTGTGCACATACTGACTTGTAAAGAGTAAAGAATTTATCAATTTTGCATCATTAATTTGCGGGTGTTTTGGCTTATCAAGTTGGTCCCGCGGAACGGACTTAGGGGAGCTATCACTGGTATGCTGCTCGGCGAATAGTAAAAACACAGGTGTTCATAGTATTGCCTCCGCTAACGCCATGGGTTTCATTGCTATTAGTATTTTATCCTGGACTCTTTCCTGTGGAATAGAGATCGATTCGTTGTGATACAATAAGGAAAAAAATAGGGGAACTTTGTCTGCGGAACAAGAGTATACAAGAAAGCTGTTGCTGCCGTTTGTCGGACTATGGTTGTCAGCGTCGTCCGTTCCCGCCATCCTACTACTAGCCTGGCGGTGCAATTGTCTTTTAGGCCAGGCGTGCCGGGTGGCCAGTCCGACTTTCTTGGCTTCATTCTCCGCGCGCTTATATCAACCCATGCTCGTGTGCGGCATGGTACGATGGTGGCTGGGTACTTGATGGCCGTGTTGTACTACTGCGCGTGTCCTCCCTTCCCATGCTCGTGTGCTGAACGATGAGCCATGATCATGGCGGTGTACTTGATGGCTGTGCTGTGCAGTTACCTGGGTACGAAGAAGGATTCGGTGGACAAGGCCCTCGACAAGGCCGTCGTGTCTACGATGCCCCAGACAGACCAGGTGTGCGGTGCCTGGCGTATTAACGTTTTCGTTTTTTGAGCGAAGAAGGTGTGCGTTGGTGTGTAAGCGTTGCGTTTGAGCGAAGGAGAAGTTAGCATCGAAGAAGGAAGTGCGTACAAGTATTGCCGCGGAGGTTTCGTTTTTTGCGGGAAATGAGGAGGGGAGGGGGGGCAGAGGGTGATGGAGATCGAGCGATTTAGAGAGAGACAGAGAGAGAGAGAGAGAGAGAGAGAGAGAGAGAGAGAGAGAGAGAGAGAGAGAGAGAGAGAGAATTTATTAATGAAAAGAGAGAGAAAGAGAGAAAGAAAGAAAGAAAGAAAGAAAGAAAGAGAGACTTAATTTTCTACGACAGGACGTCGTATCTGGGGTGCCAACGGATCAGAAGTGCATCGGCTGGTGCTTGCTTGCTTGGCGTACAGAGCGAAAAGCGTCACTCGCTTTGGGAAGAGGGCAAAGGGGGGTATGGACTGCAGTTTCGCGTGCCTGTGAGTTTTCGAGTTTCCCACGATGCCACTAACGCTGTACACTCACAATTTGCTTGCACTTTGTAGTGGTCGACGCAGACATGATTTCACGACTATTCTTTGACACCGGCTCCGCCCATCTC